ACAGTAAGTCATTGTGCAGAATAAATACGTAATTCAAAATAAACAAACTACGGCTCTCACGGAAAGCAGCAAACTTCATATTACTTGAAATCATTGCGTATTTTTTACCGACACTGTACTTTATTTATTTACTGAATTGTTTTTAATCATTCAAATGAATATAATTTGAAGACATTTTACTTTCGTAATCTGGTCTATTCGAGAGGTTAGTGGTGTGGTTAAGATTTTATATACCTATTGTAAAATTTAAAAGTCATGGCATGAAATGCCAGTGAATTGTACAGAGACAGATGCTTCATTTATTTTTCTGCACTGCTGCAGCAATAACCCTGAATGAAGTGAATATTATGATTTAACTCTGCAGTGCCTTAATAACCTAAAATGGATAAAAGATAAATATTGACTTAACCCATGGATATTCCCCACGGGGGTCGACGTAGAGAACTCTGTAGGAGCTATACCTAGGCAGTCTCGGCTACGAGGATATACAAATTACGAACCTAGTGGTTCTGAAGGCCCAGGAAAGGTCTCCTATTGACCAACTCGTGGGTGTGGAACGTTCTGGAGCAGACGGCTCTAGTAGCCCGGGGGTAGCCTCCCGGGTTTGATGGGTAACGTCTCTCTGCGAAGGGCAGCCGAGCGACTGGTAGGTAGCAAATTGACGACCATTTGCGCCCTGAGATCCGTCAGGTACGTTTGCGCCGATTCCTCCAAGGTTCGAGGACAGGGGTTGAATTCCTGGGTCTAGTTCGACAGGGGGTGAGGACCCTTAGTGCCCTTAGATGACGGGAAGGAGAACGCCCAATATATCTTATCTTACTTATAGATAGTACCAAGAAAGAACTTGTAATAACTTAATCTATGAAATACGTTTTTATTCAGAACATCAATGCTGTAGTAGAAATTTTTATACATATTTGGTCGCAAGAAACCTAGATAATATCAGTTATGTAATGACATCTGCGAGAACGCCGTAGAAGAAGAGGACGTCGAAGGAAGTCAAATGTTGAAACATCGCTAAAGTTATTAATTAAATTTCGACGTCATGCTTACAGAATACTGTGTAGGACTTAATAGGAAAGAAAAGTATCCAGGTATTTTTTAACAAAATGCGCTGTTTGGTCGGTCTTGTGATTATGCCGTAAAGGATTTGCCACTATGACTTTAAGAATTCTTCTTCATCCTAGAAAAATATGCGATGAAGAAAATCTTGATGACGAATATTAAACACGTTCATAGGTATGAAATAGCAATTAATACGAAAAAGTACGAGTAGTTGCTTAAGAAAACTGTGGCGGAACATCAGCGTGGTAAACATTACCAAACATTTCTCGCAGCCTTCATTTACGCATGCGAGCGTAAAACTAAAGAGGGAAGAGAGAAGAGAGATTCAAAAACAATCTATTTCCAGCCTTTTTAGCCGTTGCTACAGTTGAAAAGGAATTTGGGAGAGAAAATGTGAGTGTTTATCTTTAGAGTACTTCTCTTCAGAATAGAAGAAGGATATATCAAAGTTTGGGCTGGAGGTTCCTTTTTCTTGCGAATGTAATTCGATCGTGTCCTGTAATGCATCTCTGATAAACTTCTCGATGTACACATATAGATAACATATGAAGTCATCTATTATTAATGAATGTTTGACTACTTAAACTGATTCGCAGGCATTTAAATTACCACTCAAATGATTCATTCACTTTACGACATGCACCATGCAGCAATCATTTGTGTCACAGTTAATATGCATAGATTTGTTACCTATTGCACTCAATATTTTCACTTCAATTTCCAATAAAGTATCGTATTTAATTTTTGACTGCATTTGTGGATACGTTATATATACTATTTTCTTAACAGCCATATTGCAAACACTTAATATCATAAAAGTGAACGTGGTGCTAAGCGTTCTGTGATTTCATATAATAGATATGAAAATAAGGCACATCATTACAAAGTTCGAAACTGAAAAATACAAACTAAAAAAAAAGGTGAATATTATAACTGAAATTTTAGTTAAAAAATAAAATGAAGATGAGCAAAATTTGACATAAATTATTATAAACAAACATAAGAAACGCATAACTAAAGCTAAAGGAAAATACCGTGCGTACGTGTTTGCTCCCCGCCTCCTTTTACTAAATTTTATCGCATGAAACTAGAAAAGGAAAAATTAATTTTCGAAGGACGCGTAATTATAGTAACAATATAACAAGTGAAAAGTATTTATCGATAAAGTGCCAATAATTTAACGGTAAATACTGGCTTATTTAATTTTTAATTAAACCATTATTTGCCGTTTTATTTAATTTTTAATTAAACCATTATTTGCTGTTTTATTTAAAAAACAAGCGTACATTCCAGTAAGAATGCATAATAATACTAACATTATAGTATCTAATACGATATCTTCATTTCTATTTTCCTATATCCTGAATCTCGCCATCTCTCATAGTTGTCTACTGTTACTCATTCAAAATGAACGAAACGAACTTTTGTACGTCTAACACAAAAGTAAGTACCCCAAAACTAAAATATTGATACTCGTTTTGCTAGTTCTGGGTTACAGCGTGTTTAGAGAGGAACGAAAACTGGGTGTCCGCCGATAACATCGCGGCAAACACATCGCGGACGAAAACGTCGCAGAGAAAACAACGCAAGGCGAAAACGTCGCGCTACAAAACATCGTGGGAGAAAACATCGCAAAGAGAAAATATCGCAGTTCTAAAACATCGTGGTACAAAACATCGTCGTCGAAAATAAAGCGGTTCAAAAACTTCGCAGTTTAAAAACATCGTCGTCGAAAATATCGTGGTAAAAAATAAAAGTATCTACAAATCATCGCGTGACGATAACATCGCAGACATGCTTTTTTCAGACTTTAATAACTGTAAATTTAATATTGTTTAATATTGTAAAAACCGTATAATAATTTGTGAGCGCAAGATAGTAAATAAGGATAATTTGTTACTTTCATATTTTATATTAACTAATAAATTTTTGCTGAGAAAATAAGAATGGAAATTTAAGCATAGAAAATTAATGCTACTTATAGCACTTAATAGAATTTTAAACCGACAAAGACCATTAATAAATCATTTTTTATAAAGTTTTTACTGGCAAGTTTTCAGGAAAAGCTATAAGTTGCATTAATTTGCTATGCTTATGTTTTCTTCTTACTTTTTTAGCAAAAATTTATTAGTTAATAAAAAAATGTGAAAGTAAAAATTATCCTTCTTTACATCTTGAGCTCACAAATTATTATGGGACTATCTATTCACAGTTATTAAAGCCTGACAAAAGCATGTCTGCGATGTTATCGTCATGCGATGATTTGTAGATACTTTATTTTTTACCACAATATTTTCGACGACGATGTTTTCAAACAGCGAAGTTTCTGAACCGCTTTATTTTCGACGACGATGTTTTGTACCACGATGTTTTAGAACTGCGATGTTTTCTCCCACAATGTTTTGTAGCACGACGTTTTCGCCTTGCGTTGTTTTCTCTGCGACGTTTTCGTCCGCGATGTTTTTGCCGCGATGTTTTCGGCTGTAACCGAAAACTGATGCTTTTAAGCCTTAACGCTACACACACAGTTACTGATACACAGGTAATTTAAACCTGACATATGCATGCACTCAGTTAGCGAAAAGTTTCTCACCGAAAAATATTTAATATGCTTATTACTTTTTACCTTCCATCGATATAAAAAAATCGTGTATGTTTTTTTTTACTAACAAAGTATTTTGCTCTTCAAAAGAATTTATGAAACTGCCATAATACGCAGATGTGTGCTTGAAAACAAACCTTCTCGTGACTTCCAGAAACTTGTATTTCAGGTTTTTTTTATACATTATATATGTTCCATAGGTTGTGTGTTTTATATAATGTTATTCTATACTTTTCATATGTTTTTATATATTCTGCTGGACGTACAACCGTGTTTCACAACATTTTATCTGAGACAAGAGTATATATTCGCGCCTATATATAAAGAACAGATCAACTGTACGTACTATATATTTTGTATTCAATATATACGTATAGTTGATCTAATTACTTTTATTGTAAAATTATTATATTTGTATTCAATAAATGTTTTAGATCATTAACTTCTATAGCAACTTTAAACTGTAGTTCTTTACACCCAGAAATATACTACATAACATGTGTAATGAAAAACAAAAGTGTAGAAACTGCATTTTTGACTATTCATTCAAAACAATTTTGAAAATTATAAATTTTCCACAAAACTATGGCCTACAAACGTTTTCTTTTTTATCAAGATGTTTGCATTTTGATGACATAGAAGCTCGCGCCGTCAAGAAAGAATCAGATGCGCTTGTCTTAGAAGAGAGCTTTTTGAAGATTTTGTGAATAGCTGCTAGAAATATTGTAAGTTCATAACAATTGAAAAATTTGAAGCTTTCCGAGGAAGATGTTCTTTCAGGCTATTACTAATAAACCTGAATAATATTTCTTGAATAACCTGAACAATAATATACTGAATTCCGAGTAAATTCTATATTAATATAATAAGTTTTTCTATTCCTTTAAAAAAAAATAAATTTCATAAAAAATATTTTAGAAATTAAATTTAAATTTTAATTTTTATAATTTGCATATTTTTTAAGTTTGATCATAAACGTTTGGCGTAAATGTAACACTTTTACCTGAAGAATAACAGTTTTTTCTTCAAAAAGCACGAGCCGTGTCTTTTGGACCCAGGGCGTGCGCTCGTGTGACTGAAAACAGCGCGCGCCCTCCCGGGTTAATAATATTTGACTGACACATAAATATAGTGCGTTGATTTTTGAATATTTTAATGTTTGTATCACTATCAGTAACAAGCTTCTTATTCGAATAATAGCATATCAGAATAGTACATAACATACGAAAAAGATGAACTTTCAATTTAATTTTAACATTTGAATGTCTGATTTAGTACGATCTTTTTTAAACGGTAATCAGTTAAAGAATATGGTATAAAATTCAGTACTTACTTTTTGACAGGTATTCGTCCATCTCTGTCCGTCAACAGCTGCACTTTAGTGTGAGCTTTCTCCAAGAAGACGGTGGCTGGAGAATTTAGAGCCATCAAATTGTAAGCCATTTTGAGCAAATTTTCAGTCCACAGCTAGGAAAGGAAAACGAATATCAATCACAGAACGTCCGGAACACAATTATTATTTCTTGTGGTTCGCATAACTGAAAGCCAGAAATAAACTTAGCAATAGTGTAAAGCAGAAATGGAACTTTTAAAGGACAAGGATTTCAAATTTATCATCAGTTTTTTTTTTTTTTTTTTTTTTTTTTTTTTTTAATTTAGCTGCATGTATTCTACATAGCAATGGTCTTGAACTGGCGACCTGCGGGGCGCATGTAACACCCGGAGCAATTTTATGCGACCCTTGAATACACGTCATTAATGCCATGCTTATAGATTTAGATGATGCATAAATTCATTGCACAGTGGGTTGAAATAGTGTGTTTAAGAGGAGAATAGAAAAGCACTAGTAGTCATTACATCCCAACTGTATTTATAGTTAGCGTTGGCACACAGCCAAATGTACATATGTAATGCATGTAACAGCCCTCAGACAGGGAAGCAAATGAAGCTAAGAAAAACGGGATATTAATCTTTATATCTCAGGAAATACAATTCAAAATATAAATATAAACACTTTTAGAGACATCGGGATATGGACTAAAACTAAGTTGTTATTATTTATTAAGTTTTTTTCATTCAGAAATGAATTGTTTGTTTTTAGTTATGATAAAAGTAAGTTATTTATAGGTTAATTTATTAAAGTTATTTGAAATAAATGTTAGTTCAAAAATTTAATATAAGTTAATACTTGCCGCTAGTCTGCTTAAATTACAAAGTATAACTAATAGAAATTGCTTGCGAATATTTTTTATAGACAGAAATTAAGTATAAATTCGAATTTTTTCTTTGGATTGTTATAATTGTTATTTATGTATGTTTTGATTAATGAATCAGATTTAAAATTAAATTAAAATTTATTTAAAAGTTATTATTTGAAATTTGGTTTCAAATTTAAATTTATTTGATTAAAAAAATGTGGCCTATTAGCACTTTTAGATCGTGTATTCAGCCAGCATACAGTTTAAATTACCAAATTTAAGGTATTTCTCCCGCCTTCTTAGCGAGCCTTCGTGGTGTAGTGGTCTGCACGCTTGGCCGGTATTCCAAAGGTCCGTAGGTCGATTCACGGCGAAGACGGTTTTTAATTTTTCGTCTTGTCTGCTTCCAAATAATACCTAATGGCTCTACAGTGACGCCCGAACTAAAAGGGTTTTGGATGCTGATTCTCCTCATCCAGGATTTGGCGATTGGTTCCCCTAAAAACCCTAGTCGCCCTTTAAAAGGGGGCATATAAGGTATTTCCCCCGCATTCTTATCTAGCCTTCGTGGTGTAGTAGTCAGCACACTCAGAGTGTAAATGAGAGGTCCGCGGCTCGATTCCCGGCGAAGGCATTGATAAGTTTTCATCTTTCCTGCTTCTATAAAATACCTAATGTCTCTGCAATCTGCCATATACATTGAAATTTTATTTAAAACCAAAACTTGCGACTTTCTTTTAGCTTGTATATAAAAACTAATGTATCGTTTATTAAATAAATCAAGAAATCGTGCTTATACTTATCAGCCTCATAGAAATTCATCACTAATGGAACAGATTTATTACTTTCAGAGAGTTCTATAACATGAATTATTTTCACAGATTTGTGTGTGGTTGTACGACTAGTTTATAACTATAGCACCGAACTTTTGTATCGTTATAACTACAGAAATTAGAAAACTCAAGATAAAAAGAGAAATTTAATTTTTAAAACAAGTGTAACACTAGTCTAAAAATCGAGAGCAAATGCTCCAGCTTCTTAATAATAAAATAATATTATTTTAACTCCAAATTTTCTTTTAAAAATCTTGGAAATCCGACAGCATACTGATGTATAATTATCCAGAAGAAAATGGGGAAAAGGAATTAGCTTTTCTTCATTTAAAACAAAAGTCAATAAAAAGTAGTACTTAGCCAATTAATTATTGCTTCGCAAAGTTTAATTGCTCTTTGAATTTGTACGAGACTTACTCAGTTAAAGTCACAGACATTTGCTTTTGTAAAAAAATCCGCTGCACTGTATTTAATTTGAAGCTGGGGGATTAATTTTTAATTAGTGACTTTTTAGAAAGTCTTGTTTAACCTACAAAATAATAGTTGCAGGAAAGATATCTTTTTAAACTTTTATTTATAAAACTAAACATTGTCTGCTTTATATTTAGTCCTACTATATATAATATTTCTAATAACTTTGTTAAAATATGAAGAAATTATTTTCTGATTAAAAACTAAGAAGGGCATACAAATCCGTTCAAACTTTAAATCAAGCAGTTTAATAAGTTTTCAGTTAACAGCTCATTATTGAAACAAAAAATCTAAGAAGGTAATGTCAATATTTTAATTATAAGATTTTATTTAGCTCACTCTTGGGGTTTGTCGTTATGACAAAAGACTTGTTATTGATTTTTTAACTATTTCCTGATGAGATATCGAGCTCCGATTCTGCAGAAATTCTGTGGATGATAGTCAAATGCAGAGAAGTGATTTTTAAAAAATTTGATTTTAAAACTTTTAATTATATACTGAAAAGAGTTTTCGCACATATTATTGCATAATAAATAAATTAAAATCTCGGAACTTAAATGTTTGAAGAGCTGAAAACATTGTTTTAAATTAAATTTACCTCACAGTTTAAGATTTGTTGGGCAGTGTTCGAAAACCTTTGATTTTTGTTTTAACATTTCTAAAATATGTGTACTATAAATCTGTATGTATCTTTTATAAAATTTTGAAATTTTCACAGATTGAAAACAAACTCTTTGCACTCTTTTGAAATAATAATGATACAAAGATATTAACCGAGCGATTCTTACATCATTTTAATATTAACAAAGATTGGGCGATTTTTACGTTCTTTATTACGCTTCAGACTTTAAGCAGAAAGATAACTTACAGTTCTTCCTTTTGCGATGCGTGATGCACTGGCAGTTTTAAAGTTACGATGTCGTTATACATCACATTGTTTTTATTTAGTTTCGAGGTAAATTTCTCTAACATTGCTTTTTTTGTTAGTCCAAAGGGCCTTTGTATCTGAAGGACTATTGTTTTCATTTGCGATTTTGCGTCGGAAGCCTGTAAACGACGTATCACTTTTCAAATCGTTGCCACCAAATGCTATCGCGCAGTGTTATATTCCAAGAAATTAAATAATGAAAGATCTGCATAAATGTATGTATGTTTCTCGCATTGCGAAAAAACAACGGTACCTAGAGCTATCCAATTTTGAATGACGTAATAACACTGCGAATATGGGCATCTGAAAGCCCAAATTTTAAATTTGAATTTGTTTTATTACCGCTTTTATATTTTGCAAACCTTTAACGAATTTTTGATTAACAAACTCAACGATTTAAAAGTGAGCAATGGCAACACTCTACGGGGAAAAAACCCTTTTTATCTCCAGCGCGCGGAACTGTGTATCGGAAATTCTAAAGATAGGCTCATTTTAAAATTAGTTTGCGACATTGAACTGAATTTTATGGTTAAGTGCAAAGAACATGATATTTAATAAATAAGAATAACACACAAAACGTTAAAAAAACGCCCATTTAGACGTAATTTAAAATCTAAAACATTTCAGATTTTTTATTTATTTATTTCTTCCCCTTGATAGAAAGTATTAAGTTTATTACAGAAGTATTCTGCCGCCTTCTAAATGCAGGCTCGTTCTCGTATTTATTTAAGATATATATTGAATTTACTATTTATTTTCTTTAATGAAACTAGAAACAAATAAATTTCTAACTATTTAATTGTGTTATTTGCAAAGAAATGTGTTCTATAATTTTTAAAACATTTCCGTTTTATAAATTTATTTGAAATCAAAATCTCTCATGAAATCATGAAAAATCTGCTTCATAAATTTATATGTTTTTTCTTATTAAACATCCATTTCCTCAGTTTTATTGCAAAAGGTAATATTATATTCTTATATGAGACATCAAAATTCTAATAACCAAAAAACATATCAGTCATAAACATTTGAAATTTTCACAGATTATATAACAAACTCTTCATCTGCTTTATAAAAAAAGATGATAAATAAAAGAAATTTAAAAAACAAAAGATTAAGATCGTTATATTCTAGAATTTTTTTAAAAATTGATCACTTGAGCTCAGCCGTTGTACTAACATTGAGTAATTCTCAATGAATGTCAGATATTCTGATTTATATCAGAAAAAAAAATATTTGCAGAAAGTCAAGCATACAATGCTCTTAGTAAAGTAAATTCATAGGAAGAAATCAAAATTCAGGAGCGTGGTATGTCGCGGTAGGTCGGAGAATAGTTAATTGGGAATAAAGATATATATATATATATGCATATATAAATTCTTATTGTATTAGCGCAAATGGAGAGAAGGCGAGCATCCCGTCCAGGATAGCCTAACATTAAATACATAAACATTTTCATCAGAGATAATATACATAATTTCTAAAACAAACTTTGAAATAATGCATTTTATCGTAAAAATAGAAATAAGAGAATCTAAGAGGGCTTTAAAATTTCGCGTCAAGGAACATGAGGCATATGTTAGAAAAAAGGAAACACAGAAATCGTCTGTTGCACAACTTTGTTGGTCCGAAAACCACACTTTCAATTTTTCTGCTGCCAAATTATTCAAAAAACATCTTCCATTGGAGAACTGGATTTTGAGGCATTTCACATTCAAAAAAATCTTTCTGTTCTAGTTAACGATCCTAATTCCAATCCATCCTTGTCTTCGGCCTTTAAAGAAATTATGTTTTAGTTCTGGTTTCATCAACAGATGGCGCCACTGGCTTATTTTCTGTCCAGGCTTTCTTAGCTTATCTAATCATTATATCCTATCTCGTTTATTTGCGCTTTTGCAGCTGAATGGTGGTTCGGCAAAACCATCGAAAGTAGTCCTGTGGAGATTTGAAAATATAACGCTGATTTTTGTTGTTCGACTTCTGAATTAGAATAAGAGAATTGTTAGAGGTAAAAGAATAATTACTTATTTGTTAAAA